GAAAATGCTTTCACTTCTTCTACTGCAAAATCGAGCAGGTTTTGATAGGATGGCCTAGATCTGACATCAACCTAAAGAACAGGGAGCATGAAAAATGTCTGTCATTAACCTGGCAGGCATAATAAACACTCTCTCTCTAGACTACTCTTCCCATCTGTAGTTGGCCCACTCCACTATGCAGACGATACTTTCTTTCTTGCCTTTAATAAAAGTGAAACCTCACTACCTTTTCATGTGTTTTGACTGATTCTTTGTTGAGTATACCTAGAATCAGCACCCCAGAACCTGGAAGCATCTATGAACATCCAAAAGGATATTTACCACCCTGCATGGTAACACACACAAACACACGGGCAATGTGAAAGTCCAAGTCCTCCACGTTGGTATTTTGCACCAGGATCCGTTGCACACATCTCAGTTCGGCCCGGCTCTGTTTCAAGTGCTCCAAAGGCACCTGAGCCTGGCGCCTGCCGCTCTCAGAAGCCCAGATCCACTGTCTCTTGTGAAAATGCAGACAGTCCTGGGACAGATGGCACTCGCGCCCCATGGGGGACAAAAGGCACTGGAGCAAGAGCAGAGCCAGCGTGGGCCGCCTTGCAGCCTAGAGGTGGAGATTCTGGGTCCCACGTTCACATACTGAGTCCACAGCGGGTTCGGCCATGGCCTCAGGATTCTCTGTTCTAGTTTTGCCCAGTGCCACCTGGCAGCTCTGCTCTCAGTGCTCTGGATTCTGACTCTGAGCCCACGTCAGGCAGAGAAGACTCCAGGGGGGAACACTTCCCCTAGAAGCTTCCCGAGCTGGCTGGTGAAATTCTTAGGACAGGGCCTCCCACAGTAAACAGCCTGAGATAAGAGTCCCACCCAGCTGGCCCTGCCTTGCAAGGATCATGAGCAGCTCGCCTATCGCCTATCGGCAAGGCAGTCCCCAGGGGGGAATTATGCAATCTCATGTCCCAGCTCATAAACTCAGTAGAGCTAATGTACTTCCCGCTTCCCACACGCTGCTCCGGGCCCCTCTGGCTCAGTGAAAGTCAAATCAGACCTCCTTCCCAGGCTTTGGAGCCCACCCTTCCCCCCAGTTCAGATCTGTCCCAGCCAGAAGTCTCCAAGCTGTCCTGCTCCATTTCACTATAGGGCACGCTCAAATGCCAGCACCTCGGAGAAGCCTTCCTGCAGCACACTTAGAAACCACCAGCACTCCACCCCATTCCTTTTCTTCTGCACACTTACCACCACCTGGCACACTGCGTGTGTGTTCCTCTTTTACTCCTCTTCCTTTGTTATAGTTTTCTTGTTTTTCTAAGACATCGTCTCACCGTGTATTCCAAGATAGCCTTGAACTCACTATGTAGGCCTCCAATGCATGATGATCCTCCTGCCTGAGCCTCTTGGAATGCTGGTGGTACATCCCCACCCCGGGCTTTTTTCTTCCCTTTTTCTATTTTGCTACTAGAGATTGAACTTGTCGCCATCACACTAAGCTACACCATCAGTCCTTTTTTAAGAATTTAAAAACTCTTTTGCTTTTTTATTTTGGGACCGGTCTCACTAGGCCGAGGCAGAAGGATTGTTGGCAGAAGGCAAGTTGGAGTCCAGCGTGGGAAACACAGTCAGCCTGTTTCAAAGTAAGAAATAGCTGGACGCGGTGGGGCATGACTGTAATCCCAGTGCTCAAGAGGCTGAGCCTAGAATAAGGCAGGAGATTAGGGTGCAGCAAAGCTGGCTGGGAAAGCAGATGTGACCCAATAATTACAAAATACCAGGACACCTCTGAAGAACAGTTCCCAAAGCCTGGCACACGAACTTCTCACGAGAAGCAGGTTTTTACAGGATGGCCCAGGCAGGGGATATAAAAAGGACAGTGGACATGGAGATCTTTGTCACTGCATGCTGTCTTGCCCAGTGTCCCATCCTTACCCTGGAGGGTACACTCTCCAACTTTTTCTCGGCCCAAATTCATTTCGCAAAGGCTATTTCCTTTCCTGCCTTTAACAACTGTAAAATCTTACTGTTTGTGCTTGTCTTGATCAATTCGTTGCTCAGGACAGAAAACCTAAGAAACCATCTCTAAAAGACCCCAGCACCCCATAACCCAGTAACAGGAGGATCACTGTGAATTCCTCGCCAGCCTGAACTACATAGCTAGAACCTGACTGAAAAAGTTCAAAATAAACCGGGCTTGGTGGCACATGCCATCCCAGTATTCAGGGAGCTGAGGCAGAATTCCCACAAGTTTGAGTCCAGCCTGGACCACATAATGAGTTCAAGGCCTGCCAGACCTAATAAGCCAGACTCTGTCTAAAAATAAAGTGCCCCAGATGGTGGAGTGGAGCAATAGGGCTTTCTATTTGCCCTGCTGGGTTTTGGTTTCACCTTGATCCTGTCTGTGTCTCCTTCCGATGGCCCCATTCCTCCCTCCTGGATTGGCAATATTTACCCTGTGAGCTGTGGGTACCTGCAAGGGAGATAACTCAATGGTTGCCATGGCACTGGGAGAGGAGGATCATCAGGTTGCAGGCACCAGCAAGGGAGGAATAGAAAAGGTAGCAGAGGGGGAGGATGGCATTTAACACTGAGACTATGTTGCGGTTATCAACAATGAGGGCAGGAGTCTGCAAACTACATCCGTGCACAAGACGCACCAGCTGTGCACCAGTATAGCTTTACTCAAAGTCAGCCAGCCCGTGCTTCTGTGCTTGGTGCACAGCTGTTTTCACAGGACAACAGCAGAGCTGAACAGTTGTGATAGAAAGTTTCAGGCCTGCTGCGTCTTAAATATGTACGCCCTGGCTCTTCATGGAAGCTTGCTGAGCCCTGGTCTAGGGTGAGCATAGCTGGGCTGGGCTGAGCAGAGGTCCAGAGTTACAGGAAGTGAGAGGTCAGGTGAGCTCCACCTTTCTCAGGGAACTTGAGGTTGCCCGGTGCAGAAGTGGCCATGCTGCGGAATGACTGTGAACTGGGAATGAACCAGGTGTCAGGTGAATGGACACACAGGCAACGGTCTCATTCTATATTGTAGTTTAAATAAACAGTGTCCCCTGAGGATGCACATCCGTGGGCTCGGTCCCCAGCACAGTGACATTTGGAGGTAGGGCCTACAGAAGTGACGCGGTCATGACATCGATGCACTGATCCACAGAAGAATTCGTGGTTGGGGAGGAAGTGGGTCACTGGGGGTACCTTTGAAGGCTCTGTCCCAGCCCTTCCCCTCTCTACTGTTGCATGTTCTTCCCCTCCCACCCACCCCCCTACCTCCTGGCTGCCATGAGACAGGCAGCTTCCTCCACCCCGCTCTGCCACCGTATTTCCACCTCGAATCGGCTTACCATGGACTGAACCCTCTGAAACCATTAGCCAAAATAAGCCTCTCCTCCTTCTCACCTGTGAGGTATTTACTTTGCCCCAGAAATGGAAGTCTAATACCGCCCCCACGTAGCTATGTGCGTGCAGAACTCGGGACCCAGAGCATTGTGTATGCTTCTCATTCCAAATCAGAAGGCCAGGAGCAGAGGCCTTTTTGTGCTTGTTTCCTTCTTGTGGCTTCCCTGCTGGGGCCCCTACAGGTTCCTGGGCCACCATGGACCCACACAGCTACTCTCCCAGCTGGAGGGTGTGCTTTCTTCCCTGGCAGCTGTGCTAGGGGGAGGAAGGAAAGTGCTGCGGGCATCCTGGACTCCACTCCCTCTCAACACCACCTCCATTCTCCAGGTGCCATGTTCCCTGCTGGGAGCCCAGCTCGAATCTCCTTGGTACAACATTCCCCCAGCTAAGAGGATGCAGTGCCAGAACTGGCGGAGCTCATTTCCTGTGCACTGGCATCCTGCATGACAAAGATCACCCAGAGAGACACCTGAGATGCGCCTGCTGGAGGAATACCCTAGTGTGGCCGAGTGACAGCTCTTCTACTCAGGATGCTGCTGGAACAGTCACTTTCTGCGAAAGCACTACATACTTAGAAACAGGCCTGGTTTTAGATGTCGCTCAATAGCACTGAGCTCCCGATGTCCCAATGCTAGGACAGTGTTCCTGATCGGCTCTGTGTACCAAGTTCATATCTTTGTTGTTGCTGTTTTTTGCTTTGAGACAGGGTCTTGCTATGTACAGCAGGCTGATCCTAAATCATGGCAATCCTCCTGCCTCAGCCTACCCAGAGCTGGGCTTAGAGGTGTGCAGCACCACATCCAGCTTTTGGGTGTGTTAATTTATGTGGGAAGCAGCTCTGGCACTAGTCTACCTTGGTTCTCTGCAATCAGGTGAGTAAAATGCCGTGCTCACCTCAAAAATAGAGTTTATAAGTTTGAGACAGGGTATTACTATGTAGCAGATTGGTCTTGATTTTTTTGTTTGTCCGTTTTTGAGACAAGGTCTCACTATGTAGTTTATGCTGTCATTAAACTGAGGCTCCCCACCGAGTGCTGGGATAACAGGTGTGTGCCATGCCCAGCAAAAATATTTTTTAAATAAATTCTTGAAAAGCCAGAAATGATTATAAATTAACTTATTGATATTAAAAAAATCAAACTAACTTTCTTTGTCCCTGGCTTCCTCCCCACCCTTTGTTCCAGAAAATTCCCACCCGTTCACCAGGGGCAGGTAAGGGGTTCCCGCCCCACACCACTTGCTCCCAGAGCCAGAGGTGATCCTTTGGGATCAAGTAATCGTTTGGGTGGGCGCTTCTAGGTGCGGGCCAGAGCAGGCTCTTTTGGATGAGGATCAGCTGCTTCTGAGGGGCACTGGGCAGAGACCCCGCCCTGCCCAAAACCAGTCTGGGAGCCCAAGACCAGGGTGGACCAGGACACCAGCTGCCCGCTTCTGAACCAGAAGTTCTGCATTACCGTTCCCAAGCGCCAGGCAGGAGCAGCTGCCTGGGGAGACCTCTGGGGTCAGTCCCAGCTTGAGCCCTCCCAGGCTATGACCCCATTTCTGGTCACACACGTGACAGGCCAACAGGACCTCGGAAAAACCCTAACCCAGACCCATGCAGAGCCTGGGTCAACGCGTAAAACAAACACGATTTATTAATCACTAGGAATGTTGCCCAACAAACAGTGCAAACTCTCATCATGTGGGAGCAGCACAAGCAGGGGAACTGAGGTCACAGGCAGAGTCCCTCCAAGAATTCAGGGCTCTCACGATTGTCCACCAGGGGGCAGAAGCGCCCTATCACTTTGGTCCCAGGATAGGAAGCCCTTTAGGTCCCCATGGTAACAGGAAGGCTCTCCTCCCTGCCCCAGTTCAGCTGCCAAGTTCAAGTCCAGAGGAACTGATTAACAAGGATCCAAGTACCTGAGACGGAACAGGTCTCCGAAGGGTCCCCACCCCTCGTTGCAGCTGCCATGTTCCTGTCTCACCAGTGGAGAAAACCTGGTTTCAGCTGCTTCAGGGGGGCAGCCACTGTGCGGACACCATAACACAACAGATACGGACGCCTGACACTTGGCTTCTCACATTCGCTGGGCATCATCAAGGGCACAGTACCAAAACGGCTCTTCAGCTGTCCTGGGGCCGGAATGTCGGGGTGGGAAGTTGCGGGCAGGTCCAGGCTGAGGTAGGAGAAGGTGGCTGCAGAGGCCTGAGACCTCCCTGGTTCTGAAGTCCACATCATGGCACGTGAGGTCATTTACCTTTCATGGGGTGGGGAGCTGAAGCAATAGGCACTTTGCTGCCAAAGTCAAAGGCAGAGGGCACCGAAGGCAGCAGAGGGGCTGGTTTTGTTGTTTTCTGGTTTTTCTGAGGCAGGATCTCAGGATCACAGGCATGCACCACCATGCCTTGGCTTTGCTGCCTTGTTGACCTGCATGGTGTTCACATTTTTGGGGGTGCTGGGATTGAACCCAGAGCACTAAGCATGCTGAACACATGCTTTACTCCTGGGCATGCACCCCCCCCCCAGGTCCAAGGTCTGCCATCTTGGCTGTAGCATGGAGTAAAGGTATCTTCCTGGGCCCGCTGGGCATCAGATTGTCACACCAGATACACAGGAATAAGCTACAAGAGGTGTGGAGCTGGTACCTTCCAAGAGCCCCGGGGAATCTGAGGGACCCGGGTCCCCTACAGGGCTGCTACTTCCTCCTCCCCACAGAAACCTCTGACCCATGGCCTCCCTCCTCGGGGCCATCCTGCTGTCTCTGCATCCAGGCTGAAATGCTGTCCTTTCTCTGCCGGTGACACACAGTGTCCCTTTTCCCCAGGAAGCTCCTCAGAGGGAAGAAGGCCAGGATTTAAAAAAGAAAAGAAACTGCCAGGGGCTCTGGAAGCCAAACAAGCAGGACCAGCTGGGGTCAGCTACAGGCAACAAGGACGCGTCCCACAGGTTCATGCCGGCCACCATGCACGAGGGACTTGCACTGTGATAGCAGGGTTTCCCCACCACTGTTATAACCTGACCTGCAAAGAGCCACAGGGGCCTGGAGGGCACAGGGGCCTGGAAAGACTGGAGTGGCCCTGCCAGGGCTCAGCGCCTTCAGCTGTGACACGGCCCACACCAGCCCTGTTAACTGAGCTTCATGCCCTGGTCAGGCACACCGAGGGGCAGAGACTTCTCCAGGCTCTGCATTGGAGCCTCTGGGGTCTCCCACAGGGACTGAAAGGGGCGCTCCTCCTGGGAGAAAGGGACCTGCTCATCCTTCGAGGCACTTGAGGGGCTGGCATCTGGGTCCTCTGTCATCGAGGTGCTAGCTTGTGAAGGGCACTGTGAGCCGTGCTCGGAGCTGCTGCAGACATTCACGATGCAGGTGACATTGACCTGGGTCCCCAGGGCACCAGGGGGAGAGTCTGTCAATCATTACAAAAAGGGGAGACATTAATCCAAGGGTCCTGGAGTGGAGGGTATCCCCAACGGCCTGTCTGGGGCCCAAGAGGTCAATTAAGGTGTGTGGGAAAAGCTAGCATCACCCACCCACAGTCCGATGCCCTGAAGCCTTCATCCCTAGGTCTGTCTTCCTGACCTCCTGCTGCTCCAAGATCCCACTGCAGGTCTCCCAGGCACATACACCTCTGGGCCACCACTAGAGCCCTTCAGGACTCAGGGCCTTTGCACATGCTGCTCCTGCCCCAGGAAATCTCTCCCTTGTATGCACAGGTGTCTCCTTCCGGTCACTAAGGTTTCACTCAAAGGCCACTTCCTCCAAGAAGCTTCCCTGGCCTCCCTCTCCAGACATATTTGTACCAATCATCACTCCCTTAATCTCTCCCTCAAGCCCACTAGACCCTGAGCCCAGTAGGGCAGGGACTTTTTGACTGTTCCTTGCTATGGATAAGCAGCAGTCCATGAATGCCCCAGGGCATGGTGGTGCACACCTGTGATCCCAGCACTGCAGGAGGCTGAGGCAAGAGGATCATCACAGGTTTGAGGCCAGCCTGGGCTACGTGGTGAGTTCAAGTCCAGCCCGGACCAAACACAAGACCCTCTCAAAAAAAAAAACCCAAAATACTAAGAAACCTTATAGATACCTTTTGTTCTTGATGGTGGTAATATAGTTTATTGGGTTTTTGTTTTGTTTTGTTTTCAATACTGATGACTGCCCTGGGGCTTCACAGTGAAGGCCACCCTCTTTGATAATTTGTTTGAGACAAGATCTCCCTGACTTACTAAGTTGCTCAGGCTGGGCTGGAGCTTGCAATCCTCCTGCCGCAGCCTCCAGGAGTACTGGGATTACTGGTGTGTACCACCAAGCCCAGTCAGTGTTTTTAAGTGACTCTGAGGCTGGGGTTAGCTCAGTGGTAGAGACCTTACCCAACGTGCTCAAGGCCTGGGGCTCAATCCCCAACCCTGTCCCCACCCCCAATAAAAAAGAAAACATTCTGGGTGTGTGGCCTCCCTGGGAGCCAGATGCCAAGGACCTGGCCACAGAGGATCACACAGCTGAAGGCCCAACTTGCTGGGGACAAATGTCAAGGGCTTCCTGAGCCGCGGCCACTGCTGTGAGCACAGGACCGGCACAAGGCAGCAGTTCCCCCCACTCCTGCCCCAGCCCACCCTCCGACTTCCTCCAGAGACCCAGGAGGGGTGAGGGGGTTAGAGTGGCACTGACACCTGCCCGCCCAGAAATGCCACACACAAGCCCAGGAGAGAAAGGGCTGCCATCATGAGGCCGGAAAGACATTTCCACCCCAAATGTCACCCAGAATCACCACAGCCTTTGCACCTCATGAATGAGACACTGTGGGGGTGGCTGGGGCACAGATCTGGGGCTGATGGGTACCTGAAGTGGAGAGAGGTGCTGGGGTGGGAGGGGGAGGATAGCCGTGCACAGAGGCTGGGAGACGGGTCAGAAATGGAGAGTTGAGGGGGACAGGGGACAGGTGGACAGGGTCTAATCTTCTGCAATGGGTGCTGAGATAGGCTGCCGTGAATTCAAGGCCAGCCGGAACTGCATAGCCCTGACAAAGGCAGTGGCTTGGCCGGGGAAAGCAGAGGGGTCCAATCCGCATGAGTGGGCAGTTGGGTGGCCACGTGCTGCAGGCAGAGGGATGGCATGAGGACCAGCAAGGGGCCTGGCAGGCCAGGGGCAGCAGGGGTGGCGGCTGCCAATCTCCATGGGGAGGTAGCTCAGAAGGACTGGATCCCCAGGAAGGCGCCAAGCCCTGCCCAGCAGGTGCCATGCTCATCTCTGGGTGGGGAAACTGAGGCTCAGTGGGGTTAGGAAGGCTACTCTTGATTCTCCAAGGCCTAGAACAGCTGGACAGGAACCTGGGGGTGACCCAGCTCATGACCACTCTCTGTGGTACTGCTGGTTGCGACTGCAGGTGACAGAAAGAGACACAGGCAATACAACAGACTTCACCTCCCCACCATGAAGCAAGGCCAAGGAAACCCCAGGGATTTGGGGGCAACAGAAATGCCAACCTGGGTGGCGCCTGTCACAGATCAGGGCCAGGCAATGCACTGCCAGGTGCATTTGTTTTGTTTGGTTGGTTTTGGGACAGGGTCTTGCTAGGTAGTCCAGGCTGGCTTCAAACTCACGGGGGCTCAGGGAGCTCTGAGGAGCAGCCAGGAGAGATGGGGGTGACGGCATGGACCATTTCATGGGGTCCTGATCCCACAGCAAAAGGCGGCCGGGGAGGCCAGCATAAAGGACGGTGCTCAGGACCAGCATGGGGAAGGCGGGGGAGCCTGGCGGGGTCAGGGATTGAAAGCTGCTCCCTGTGGCTCTATGGAGAGCTGGGCATGGAGCAGGCTGGGCACAAACCATGGGGGTCTCCAGGGGCAGGGCCCAGGAGGAGGCCTGCAGGACACAAGCCAGGGGAGACACACAGATGGGCCCCGGGTCACAATGGTTTGATTTGAGATGTTTCAATTTCCCAACAGGTGCAAAAGTAGCAAGCATTCCAAAGACACTGCCATTAGAATTTCAAATTTGGGGCCAGGCATGGTGGTGCAAGCCTGTCAATCCCAGCGCTCAAGAGGCTGAGCCAGGAGGATCACCTGACTACATAGTGAGACCCTATCTCGAACAACAATTTTTTTTAGCCCCAAACAACAACAACCAGAAGAATTTCAAATTTTCCACAGTGACGTAGATAGGCAGGAAGCTACAGCGCCCTGTAGGCCTGGTGTGCTAAGTGCAGTTTCCTGAAATATCTTCAACAGGGTGGGGTTCTTGGGGTGTAATCTCATCATAGGTCCAGGGCATCCGTACAAAAGAGGACCAAGTCAGGTGCATCCTGCCTCTTACCTGAGGTCCTGGAGCTGGTCCGGGTTTCCCCAAACTCCTCAGCCTTCTCCATGCCCGGGGCGGCAGCACTGGCCGAGCTCTCCAGGGAGCTGCTGCTGGAGCTGGGTGCCGTAGTGAGCAGCTGCTGCTGCTCCAGGCCGGTCACGCTCCGGATCTTATCCACGTGCACGTGAGCCTGCAGGAGGAGCAAAGGACATCAGCCACCCCCAGCCAGAGTGCCTCCTTGCGGCCCAGGCGCATGCGCCCTTCACAGCTGACGCCACGCCTCTGCCCACGCCTGCGCACTCTTCCCAGCTCAGCGCTCTCAGGTGACTGTCCGAGCTGTCTGCTGTGAGCATCTCGCCGCCCTGCTCAGCGTGCACCCGTGGGATGGGGGCCATGTGGCCTTGCACACTAGCTAGTCTCAGGAGTGGGGCGGGTTTTCATCCTGCTGGTGCACAAGGACAGGGAAGGGAAGCCACTTTCCTAATCACCACAATGACTTACATCACCCAGCTGTGAGGATTTAAACAGGAAAATGCCGAGAACAGTGACTGTTGCACTTAAGCCCTGCACAAGAGTTTTGGTTTGGTTTTGGTTTGGTTTTCTTGATTTCCGTTTTTGACACAGGGCCTTGCCGTGTGTCCGACTGGCCTTGAGCTCACTTTGTAGTCCAGGATGGCCTCGAACACACAGCGATCCTCCGGCCTCAGGCTGGTGAGTTTGTTAATTCAGAAATGGGCAAACTACTGCCCATAGGCCACATGCAGCCCGTTACTTATTTTTGTGCAGCTTGTGGTTCTTCCTTTTTTTTGTTCTCCCATTTTTAAATGGCTCAAAAAATGTGTTACAGAATAAGGCTTCTGCGCTGTGGATATAGCTCAGGTGCACAAGCGCCTGCCTGGCAAGCACGAAGTTGCGAGTTCAATCCTCACTACAAAAATAATAATAATAATAATAATAATAATAATAATAATAATAATATTTCTCAGCCAGGTGCAGTGGCACACACTTGTAATCTCAGCATTTGGGAGGCTGAGGCAGGAGGATTGCTGGGGGTTTGAGGCCAGCCTGGGCTACAGAGTGAGCTCAGGACCAGCCTGAACTGCACAGTGAAACCCTGTCTCAAAAAAACCAAAAATAAAAAATAATAATAAGACTTCCTGACGTGTAACAAGGAAGACAAGACAGGAGGCCTTCGAAGGGCCTCACAGGACGCGGCCACTGGGTTTATGGAGACTGTGCTGTCCTCAAGCCCAACACTCTCACTGCCCATCCTTGGCAGAAAGGTCACTGACCCTGTGGTCAAAAAACCCATCAGCGGCATGTGGCCCTTTGGTTCGGTCTCCAGTCCCTGCCTCCGCCTCTCTCCAGGCCCCCACCCCGCTGCTCTGTGGCTTTTCCTATGTCTCTTCCCCCAGAACGTTAAGAAGACATTAGTCGGGGTCCGAGTGCCACCCAATGCCCCGTGCTGCCGAAGTCCCTCCAAACACTGCTCTACTGACTTCCACCTGTGTCACCCCAGCTTTGCAGGTGTGGAAACTGAGGCACGGGGTGGACGAGTGACTTGTCTGAGGTCACAGGGAGGAAACAGTGGGGTTGAGCTAAAACCCAGGATTCCTTTTCTGAGTGTCTGAGGTTTCCATTCTGGAGAATCAAGACAAGAACCCCAGTTTTGGGACACCTGTGCTGGGCCGCCCCAAAATGCCACCTCTGGGCTATTTGTTGTCTGTCCACCCAGACTGGACATGTGTAGGGCTCTGGGTGATTACTGGACCCCAGACAAAAAGGAGATGACAGAGGTCCCTGCTGTTCCCTCTTGCTAGAGGTCCTTGGGCTGTCCAGGGCAGAGTGAGAACGGAGGAGCATGAATACTGGGCAGGACGTGCCTGGCATGCAAGGGATGGGCATGGGGTGGGCTGGACCAGCACAGGCCCTGTACTGCCAGCCTCCACCCAGACCAAGGCTAAGACCCTGGGCTCCGTCCAGGGGGTGGGGCAATTCCAGTCTGAGCAGAGGCAGGAGCCAGCTGTCCAGCCTTGGGGCTGCTCCTCTCTGGCCAATTGCTGCAGCCCCTGGCTCCTAGCCCCACCCACCAGTGGCTTCAAGATGCCTGTGCTTGTCCCTGACCTGGGCCACTTCCCCACACCCGGTCCTGCCCTGAGTTGGGAGGCCAACGTGACAGATCCAAATGTCACTCCTCACCACCTCCAGAGACGGGGCTTTTCTGCCTGGGCCTCACTGCTTGGCTGGTGGTTAGAACCACCAGGCAGAACAGAAACCCTAAAGGTCACAGCCCATCTCCTTGCTCCAATGCCAAAAGTTGCAAAGTTCAGGATCAGCTGCCACCCGAGTCTGGTACCCCATGGGGGAACACGGAGGAGACACCTTGCAAATTCAGGACCCCAGCCAGCTTCAGGACCCCAGCTCGTAGCCCAGCCCACTAACTATGCAGGGTGGAGACCCTAGCCGAGCTGCCAGCTGGCTCCTGCAGGTAGCTGTCTGACTCAGGCTGGGCATGTGTCTGCAGGCTGCGGGCAGGGGAAGCATGCATGCACACGTGTGCACGTGTAGAGGCCATGTGCACGTGGCCAGAAAGAGGCATGGTGTGGGTGTGCTGTGGCAGCGACAGAGACATCCCTGGGTTTGTGTCCTAGATTATGTTTATCAGCTGGGCACCTTGGGAAAGTTACTTAACTTCTCTGCACCTGTCACCAGGGCAAAGAGTGACACTCAGCACCACACCTGGCACCCATTCAGCACCCAGCAAATGTGTGCACTGCTGACTAACAGGTCTGTGCGTGTGTGTGTGTGTGTGTGTGTGTGTGTGTGTGTGTGTGTGTGTATGGGTGAGCTCACATGTGTGCATCCACTGCTTTTCCTAACAGAAAGAGGTCACTGTCCTCAAGCCCTGGGAGAAGGCTGGCACTGAGTCACTGCTCCCTTTGGGGCACCACCCGCCGGGCTCCAGCAGGGGCCTGTGCCAGCTGCCTGAGGGGAAACAGGGTGGGCACAGACCAAGCAAGGGGTGGGCTGAAGGAGGGCACATGGGGGCACTGGTGCTCCCCACCCCAGGGACAGGCGAGGATCCGGCAAAGAGCTGGGCTCAGGACTCGCAAGAGAGGTGGCACCAGCCCAGACACACATGTCTGGGAGGGAGACCCTGGGGGCCGGCAGATGGCCATGCAAGGCAGCCACAGAAATGAGCTGACACCATGCACCACGACCCATGTCCCTGCCTCTCTGTGGCTCCAGCATGCAGTGGCTGGGGACCCCTCTCTGTGGACACAAACTCAGTGGTGGAAAAGGAAGCAGGGCACCTGGGCCACAGCCAGCCAGGAAAGAAGAGGTGGCCGCTGGGCCACAGGAGAACTTAGAAGGGACACTTGCTCTGTGTGTGCCACCTGGCAGCTAGTGCCAGCCACCACTGCCATGAAGCCAGAAGAGGGGAAGAGCAAGGTATCAAGAAACCATCCCCTCCCCACTGAAATACCATAGGGCAGGCAAAGAGCACGGGGCTGGAGTCCAGGGACACTGCCGTGGACAGGCGCCCTCACCAGCAAAATCAGGAGAGGGGACCCAGGAGAAGCATGGAGCCAGCAGAGGGATACTCACCACCTTGGCTTCTCGCTGTAGGCAGAAGGGCTTCTCTGTAAGGAGAGAGGGACACATCAGGCAGTGTGATCAAAACCAGTCCACTCCTCTGGGCCACCAGTGCCATCCACCAGCCCGCCTTTGTTCATGGCCTGCTCTTCCTAGGGCTCCCCCTGTCTTGCACGTCCCCCACCCACAGAGATCCTGTTCCCAGGGCTCTAATTCCTCAGGCTTCCAGAACAAACCCTAGGACAACCCGAGGGGCCCTAGTGAGCAGAGATGCCTGCTGCCCAGAAGCAAAGCTCCAACAGAACCAGACAAGGCAGCACGGGGTGCTGAATCCCCAGAGGCACCCAGAAAAGCTCCCTGGACTATGCATGAAAGACGGAATGAAATCTTACTTTTCCTCTGGGTCACGATAACACAGTTCACCAGTCCGATGAGCAGCAGCCCCAGGGCCGTGAGGCCCACGATCAGTCCTAAGAAGAAAGGAGATGCTCAGAAACTCATGCACAGACACTGGGGACCCAGGGTGGCTGGGGTGTTGCCAGGGAGGAGCGAGGCTGACCTCATGTGTCAGCAGGCCACACGGACATGGCCTGGTACAGTGCCAACCCCAGAAAGGACACGGATGAAAACCCTGGCCTAGCCCACTGGCTTGTCCATGGGAACAGATGCCAGGACCTGTCTTTCCCAACACGGGGACTCTCAGTGACAGGATCCAGTCCTGGGAGAAGACCTGGCTCAGGACGGAGCAGAGGGTCTGGCGCATGGTGGGCTGTCAGGGAGACGAGAGAGGGAGAGGAGGGAGGCCGGGAGGAGAAGGCAGGGCCCCCGTGACCTACCTATTGGAAGGGAGAGGCCATTCTTGCTCTTTCCAGTCGGGGGCTCAAGATCCTCAGGGAGCAGGAGGGCGGTGCTAGGAACTGCACTGGGCCTGGGAGTGGGATCCCCGGGCTGGGCTCTTGGGGACACAGACTGGGGTGTGCGGGCCACTCCAGGGGTGGGGGACACGGACGCGCACACTGTGTCCATTGCTGCATTCCCTGGGATGGCCACCGAGCTGCAGCTGCAGGGGAGGAAGAGAAGGAGGTCGGTCAGACCCGCAGAGGGCAGGTCAAGGAGGGTGCGATGCCTGCTAGGCACAGCCCTGCCACACGCCTCGCCCCATCCGCTGGCCCAGGTGGCTCTTCCCCGGACCCCAGGGACACGGCACCACCCCTCTCTTCTCTTTCAGAACCAGGGACTCAGCTGCTCACTTTCGGTGGGGCCTGCAGGCTTCGGTGGATGACGCAGTGCTGGAGAAGGTGCCTGGGGCACAGGGGGCACAGTGCACGTTTGAGGTTGCAGTTCCTGGAAGGGAACAGTAGGGGCCCAGTCAGTGCTGGAACCTCACAAAAGGTTCCTGATCCTGGAAGCCAGGGGAGGCCTAGGGGCCCAAGGACTCTGGTTTGCAGCTCCTTCATATGCACACACACAGCTGGTCTCTGGGTCATGTGGATTCTCCTTCCTGCATCGGCTCTTTCTTTCCTCTTTTTTTTTTTTTTTTTTTTTTTCAGTACAGGAGTGATCCCAGGGCCTTTGCACTGATCTATGTGCAAAGAATTTTTTATTTTTTATGCTGTGACAGGATCTCACTAAAGTTGCTAAGTAGTGCGGGCTAGGCTTGAACTTGGGATCCTCCTGCATCAGCCTCCCAGAGTTCTGGGACTGATTGCTGGCGGCACCACTGAACAGGTGTCTGCAGCACCTTCTGATTTTCCAGTTGCTGGGGCTCAGCTGATTCACCTTGGGGCCCTCAGGCTGTAGTACACAGTAGCAGCCTAACAAGGGATGCAGGACAGCGGTGCACGGCGCCACCCTGACAGCGCCACTGGCTGGGCTGAGGAGTCCACACCCGTGGGGTCCTCGTACCTGGCTTGACCACGCCGAAGCCGGGAAGACACTTGCGCAGAGGCATGCACTGCCGGCAGGTGTCCGGATTCCCCAGCACGCAGAACTGGCCCGGCTTGCAGGCGCAAACGCGGTTCCGCTGCGGAGTGCACGCCTGAGTCTCCACCTGGTCTGGAGGAGAAGCCAGCAGCCGGGGTCACCCAACAACCTCCCCTCTGACCACTCCCACTCGGCCCTCCCCCTGCCTGACCACACCCCCCCTCACCGGGCCTCCACCTCCTTCCCTGGCCAGTTTCCAGGCAAAATCTGGGGAGCACTCAGGAAGGTACACAGGCAAACGCCAAGTCTCAACTGCACTGCACGGGTCGGGCCCGATGCGTCCAAATGCGTCCAGCACAGATGCTGGGCCACCCTCTCCTGGTCCACTTACCGGCGCTGCACGGGGAGCCGCAGCTCAGGCATGTGGAGGCCCAGTTCCAGAGCCTGGTGTACGTGCTGTCCTCGCAAGGGGCACACACGGTGTCCGAGGTCTTGGTGCAGAAGGCTTTCAAATGCTGGCCTAAGAAAGCAGACGCCAGAAGTCTCAGCAGGGTGGGGCTTCTTCCAGGACACAGGGCTCACCCCCTGTTCCCCAGAGTTCCAGGGCTAACTGCCCGATTCATCTCACATCTGCCAGGAACCAGCCATTACTCCATCTCTAAACCCATTTGGCTCATAAAGTATCTTCCCTTCTGCTGTTTCCAGTACCTGAATTTTCACCGTTGGAAACCTCTTATCCATCAATCACACTCTAGTAAGAACTGGTTTGCCAGTTCCTAGGAGTAAAAACTAGAGTAGGGGAAAGGAGACAGCAAGAACACAGTTCCACTGTCAAGGATAAGGGCATGGGATTCCTGAGGGCCCAGAGGGAGGCACGGCAGAGAACAGGAGATCGCCAAGGCAAACCCTGAAGGTGTCTGCCCTTCTTGGTACTATTCCTATCCCCATGCTGCCGAATTCACTGCTATGCTAATCTAGTGGATTTTTTAATTGAAGAATTATTTTTGATTTTGAGATAAGAGCTCACTAAGTTGCTAAATGGCCCAGGCTGGGCTCCAACTTGGGGATCCCCCTGCCTCAGTCTCCCAGAGTGCTGGGATTAATAGAATTGAATTTGTAATGAGTAAAAGCAAGGTCTCTTTGCCTGAGGTCTCTTAAAGTGGCTTCAGGACAGACACATGTTCTACCAAACAGCTCCACAAACAGCTCCAAGCCTCCAGGGGTGGAGGCTTCCAGACTCAAAACTCCTCACCATGGCTGCCAAGCATGCTGCCTCTCTCTCTCCCCTCCCGCAGGGCTCACCAGTGTCACCGTCTCTGGGACACCTTCACGGACCCTCGTAACACCACAGAGCCCTTCCCTCTGTCTCCATCACCCCCCGGCCTTGTTCCCTTCCCCAGACTTCCTGATAGCCAGGAGAGCACAACTCTTTGCTCATTTGTCTGTGAGCTCCATTCAGCAGCGGATGCCACACAGGCAAGGGACGGCTCAGCTGAGGTGTAAAGGACACCTCGGAGTGAACCAGGAAAGGGAGCTGGGACCATGCCAGGCAGAGCGATGGATGTACAAAGACCCAGGGGCACCACACCCGCCTGCCCCTGCCCCGGCTGCCCCTCACCAGGCTGACACATGCTGCAGCACATTCCTGCTGTCTTCTCGTAGTATTGTCTATCCCCGCATGGGCTGCTGGGTTCCGGTGCATAGGGCGGCGTGAACACAGTCTGGAAAGGGAAGACGAGACAGCTCAGCCCCAAGACACTGCCACCCAGGTCCTGGGCTAGCCTGCTCAGCCTGCTGGAGCTCCTCCTCCAGGGGGCCTTCCGTGGCTCCTGCAGCCTGGCAGAGGCTCTCCCGCCTCTGGTCTCTCTCGGATCATGGTTATGGCCCCTTCTAACAATCATGTCACTGTCCCCAAATGGAGCCCTCGCCTTCCACCACCGCGGGTGTGTCTACATAAACATCTCCACGCGCATCCCTCCATGCAGAGCTGGCCATCGCTGCCGTCAGCCAGGGCCAAAGTCGGCAGGAACCGAGGGCACCGACGATCCTGCACACCTCCGGCTCAGGCGCTGCAGGCCCAAGGGCCTCAATGCTGGTTGGTGGGGCTGCTCGCTCCACGCAGCTCCCCATCACCGGTGATCTGATCCCCGTGGTTGCTGTGTCCAACCACAGCGACACAGGCCGTCCAGCTGAGAGGCCACCTGCCCGCCCCCTCTTCCTGGAAGCGCTCCCAGGACGGCACGTCCCAGAATCCCTGCTCAGGCTCAGCTTATGGAGCCTCCGCCACCTCCCATCCAAGTTGGCTGCATGTAGAGGAGCGCTCCCCCGGCCACCAGGTCCCCGGGGACCTGGGACACAGGGGACTTGAACACAGATCCCGTCTGAGCTCACGGTTTGTGCTCTGAATTGCACCGCCCTGGGCCTCCGCGAAGAGAAAAGAAACAGCGACGAGTGAAAGGGGCACAGAACTGAACAGTGACAAACAGTGTTCCTCCCTCGGACAGGAGTGACCCTCCAGGGACAGCCACCGTTGCGTCTGTCCCTGGTCCCTAGGTTTTCCCTCCATAAGGTGGAGCTGGCCTTCGGGCCTCGGGACTTAGCGTTCTGCAGCCACCTCTGCAAGACTGCGCATGCTCAGAGCACCCTCCCCAGTCTGCTCTGCAGGCAAACGTGGGCGTGGACCTGTTTATACACGCTAAGGCGGAGGTATGCTGGCACTTGCCCAGTCCCTTGCAGCCTTGCAGACAGACGTCACTTGAAGTGACCAGGGGGCACTTCTAGGTCAGAGTGGAGGGCTGCAGTGGCCTCATGGTACCACCAACTGCGCTTGCGTGCAGCAGCCCCATAAACCTTCACCCAGCGAACTGTCCGGCCTCTTCCCAGATACCCGCGTTGAGTCAGAGCAGCCTGGTTTCAATTCCTCATTCCGCCACTTACCAGCTGTGCAGATCCAGGCAAGGGCCTTCACCTCTCAGGATTCACTTCTAACAGCAAGGGAACAAGCTCACTCCAACCTCCCACTCCTAGATTTTTTTTTTCTTTTTTTCAAACAGAGACTCATGTAGTTCAAGCTGGTCACAAGCTCACTATATGTAGCCATGCTGGCCTCAAACTTGTGATCCTCCTGTCTCAGCCTCTTGAGTATTATGATTAAAAGCGGGCACCACTACACCCAGCTCATCAAAATATTTAACACTGGGAGCAACTGGTCACACCGGACCAACCAATCAACACAGATGCCAGCTACCGCGGGCACTGCCCAGCCTGTGCAGACCTGGCCAAGTCCCCTCCATCTGAGGAGGAGCTGGCTGCCTTTGCCTTCCCTTACTACTGCAGGCTGGGTTGTGACTGCCTAGAGCCAAGTGAGGAGCGGGCCTGTAACCCAGCTGTCTTCCCTGCTGGGCCTAATAGCCTGGAGCTTGGTGCCAGCAGCTGGAAGCCATCAGGACGATGACCCACAGGGCTGGCTTTCAGGCTGCAGACTGTCCATGGCCAATCTCATTCCAGGTCCCCTCACTGTCTCCTGCTTCCTCTAACAAAATCCCACGCATCCCCTAAGGGCCCTTCTCAGACAGCAGCCGCCCACGGCGGGCTCCATGCCTGTGCCCCACCCTGCGTGAGTCACCCAGAATCCTGACCTCCTCCTCCTGGCTCCTGGCAGACACAGCTGCCCTCTGAACCTGCCGGCTGGGGCTACGGTGCCCAAAGCCTGGTGTGGACAGCTGCTGGACGCTGCTCATGGGAACAGGGGCCTACTTAAAAAGTCATTTCCCAGGGTAGAAGCCTGACCCTGACACTAGAGCCACCAAGCCTGAACCTGGAAGGATCCTGCCTCTGAGCCCTCCCCACCTTGTCCCGCCCAAGACAATCGGCAGGTGGCTGGGTGAGGGGAGTGGATGCTGCAGCTAAGTCTGAGTCACTATGACCCCTCCGGACTGTCATTCACACAGGCCTGTATGCACACGTGCACACACACAAATGCACACGTGCATGCATGACGTGTGATCAGAATGTACGGTGAGTGTCTACGTTAAAAGTTTTATTGCAATAAAAGACACGCTGTCATTAATCCCCTCAACACATTTACCCATCGTTCTTGCCCCTTTCTGAAGTCCTCCCTGAAGTCCCCTTTCAGGTGTGTACGAGGTGAAAGCTTTGTGGCTGAGTGTAAAAATGGGATGGGGCACCTTCGACCACCCTCTTCACCAGAACTGGCATGCTGAGACTTCGAACTCTTCCCCCAAGGCAAAATGACCAAGAAAGGTAACACTGGGAACCCATTCAGGACACTGAGGCAGCTACAGAGGTGAAACTAAAGACACACAAGCCAGGCATGGTGGTGCACACCTGTAATCCCAGCATTTGGGAAGCTGAGGCAGGAGGATCGCCATGGGTTCGAGGCCAACCAGGTTTGCATAGTGAGGTCAAAGGCAGTCTGAACTACAGAGCAAGACCCTGTCCAACAAACCAAACAAGAAAAAAAGGTCTCAGGGGACTCCAGCACCCTGAGCAGTGGAAGCTGGGGGAGCCCCTCGATCCTGCTCTGGCCGGGGAAGGATTTACTGTCAGGGCACAAAGGATCTGATGGGAATGGGCCCTGCCTGGGCCAAGTCTAGGCTCACTTGCTGCCAGGGATAGGGCTCCCGACTGGCCACCAAGGACAGGCAGCTGGACCCCATGCACAAGCCTCCTCCCTCCCTCTTCTGGTCTGAAGCTACACTGTGATTAGCGCATTAGCTCTGCAGCATTTCCTCCTGTGTGTGTGACTCCGGCCAAGCCTGCAGCTGGCAGAGGTGTCAGCCCTCCCCCAGCAACCTCCAGGCCTGTTTGTCCTCTTGAACAGAAAAAAAAAAAAAGAGCCCAGTTACCGCCAAACAATAAGGAACAGAAAGCCCCTGAGCAGAGCAGGACAAAAGGTCACTCCCTCTGCAGCCTGCAAACCAGGCCTCCAGGCCGCCCCAGGAACAACACAAGCTGCACCCCCCTCCCAGGTCCCCAGGACACGGGAGCACCTCTAGGAAGTTCAGGGCCTGGGAGGCCTCTAGCTCCTCCCATGTGGGGTGGGGATGAGCACCCCACGCACCCCGTGTGGCCTGTACTCTCAAATGAAGAAACAGACTGACAGCGTGTTTATCGGCTCAGTCCTTCAAAATACAGAGCCTTAGGTGAAAATCTGGAAATCACTGAGAAGAGTTAAACACCCAGTTAACAGTAGGGACTCCAGGAGCCAGCAGTGAGGGAAGTGGCAAAGGTGGCTGGACGGATGGACGGATGGACGGATGGATGGATGAATGGACAGATGGATGGACAGATGGACATAGATGCTGGACAGGTAGACAGGTAAGACTTAGGCAGGTAGATGATGGGTCAACAGTGATGAGGATAAAGACATACACAGCCAGGTCCAAGCCGATGACAGGTGATGACAGACAGCAGCAAAGAAGCAAAACTGTCCCTGACCCAACACCCAACCAGGGAGGCAGGGGCGGCTGTGCCCGTTCCGTGGATGTGAAGATGGGGACGGAGGCAAGCCCACCGCGCCTGGTGTCCTTAAAGGCCAAGCCGTGCTACAGCACAGGGGTTGCTGTGGGCCTCCTGGAGGGTGGCCTTAGGCTGGCACAAAGGGATTTTGCTCTGAGGAACACTGGCGGTAATTCGACCCCAAAATAAGAAGTCTGGGTAGGTAGGTGCCTAAACCCCAGGGGCTGGGGTCTGTGAGTGGCAGCTAAAGGATGCTGCGGCCTCAGGTCCCCATCTGTCAAGTGTGGAGGCCTATGTTTATAATTCCAGCACCAGGAGGCTGAAGCAAGAGAAAAACCACAACTTTGAGGCCAGCCTGGGCTATATAGTGAATTCAAGGACACCCTGAACTCCCCAGCGAAGTTCTGTCTTATTCCTCCCCGCAAAAAAGAAACAGAGTGAACCCCAGAGGCCAGCTGAGGGCAAAGCCCTAGCATGGCACACTTCTCTGGCATAACGTGGCTCACCTGGGCAATCAGAGGCCACCTGTCCTCCCCTGCACCCTCTCTTCCTGTCTCTTCCCTTTCATAGCCTAGAGTGCTCAGAACGCACAGCTGGTGGACAGGACTGGGTGGGAGGGATGCTGGTCATCGGTCAGGCGGGGCCAGGCCAGGTGATCACAGAGGTCTCTGTGATTCCAGAGTCTGGGTCAGCTCTCGGGAGCCAGGACTGGCTCATTTGCCATGTGACCTATCTGCAGACCAAGCGCCTTGAAGAGGACCAAACTGGGGCTCTTGGCCCCTTCTGTTTATAAATAGATAGTGAGAGAGGAACAGCCCAGAGCAGGACTGGGGAGAAGGAAGAAGTGGCTCCCGGATGGTGTCATGTGACAGCCCCCATATCCTGGCTCCTCTGCCCCCATTGCTTAGCATCTGCTGGGAGCTGCATGGCTTTTTGATTTCCCAGCGATCACCTTAGAATCCTTGGGAATCTAAGGGGAGCCCAATACCAGCCTCCCTGGGGGCTCCCCTGAGCAGGGATCCCACAGCTGAGCTTAAGCAGGGGACAAGAGGGGAAGAAATGACAAGGAGAAGCTTCAGGCTTTGTGGACAGACAGCACCCCCTTAATTCATCCCTTCACACAAGCTAGGAGGGCGAGCAGAGACCATCCAGAGCAGGAAAAGCACCTACTGTGTGTGGCTGCTCTGCAGGCACGTGTATCTACACTCTCATTTTTCCCTTGCACCAATGCAACAAGGTC